TGTTAGCCTTTTATTCCCGACTAATACTCTCAAATAAGAACTGAAATCACTAGTGAAATGAGACAGAAGTAATCATTCAGAGCAGGAAATCTTACATTTACTGAGAACAATTTTAAGAAGCAGGGAGGGAAATCTGTACATTCAGCAACACCTTCCTGGCCAGATTCTATTTCCTGTCTTTGAAGTCAAGAATGACAAGGAAAGCCTGGGGCTCCTCATTCTATGAACCTTTATGGGGAGCACTTGGGAATCGGCCCACGTGTGACACCAAGCTTCAGATAAAAGTGGTTGGCACGACTCTTGGTTAAAATTGGTTGTGACAGCTCCTAGGTTAACCCTGGGATTTTAAGTTCTGAAATCAGTTCTTGTTTATGATCAGAATGAAGGTTCGGGATAATGGGTTGGCCACCTTCTCTGTAAATAGTTTCCCACGAAACCAGTGGCACGCCATCATTGAGCATTGGTGTTGTAAGTGCTGGCGAGTCGATTCCGACTCATAGCGCTTCCAAGGAGCAGCTGGTGGGTTTGAACCGCTGACCTGTGGTTCGCAGTCCAGTGCTAATCCTACAGTGCCACACCAGGAGTCAAAGCCTATGAGATACTGGGGACATGGGGAGGAAGAATCAAATTCTTAGGGAATTCTTAGAGAATCAACTTCTTAAAGGAACAATTATAGAATGGGGTGAAATTCCAGCAGGAGGAATCCACACAGGGCATGGTGAGTGCACTGATGATGGGCCTGAGCTCAGCCTGGGAGTAAGAGGGCGGATGTGGGTATGTCCACGTGGCATGTCAGGGGAGATGTTCTGGCAGTCTGACTCTGCTGACAATGCTGAAGAAACTACCAGGCTGCAAATACTGACGTCCATTTTTTTATTCTTTTATCTTCTCACCTCCCTCTTTTAACTAAGTCCCCAGTCCCTCATGTATTATTTTTAAAAACTCTCCAACCCCTTATCTGTAAAATATACCCTTGGTGGAACCAGCAATTTTTACAGGACACTGAGGGAGGCAGACATATTTAAAGAAGATTGAGAGTCAAAGAAGGTAAAGCCCACAGAGAGGAAACGGCAGAGTGGCACGCTCTGCTCACAGCCCCCATCTCACCATTGCTACGTAGACATTGCCCAGTGTGAAGTGGTTCACGGCGAAGTGCGGTGCAATTTCCACTGCCATGGTGGCCACTACGACGGCATCGTTCCAGAGCTTGGCATTGTGCAGGATGTTGGCCAGGCTAATCAGGGGCACGTCCTGGCGGAGGGAAGGAGAACAGGAGGGTATCAGAAACTTTTCAAGTTTTCATTCTTGGAGTTTGTGGTCATAAATCATTGCCTGTTAAACTGCATACTGGTGCAACTCCAATTGCTGTGTGCGCCAGATGTGGGTCTTGGCCCAGGCTATGAATCAATGCATGGCTTCTTTCACTGAGAAAACCTTTCCTTAAAACACAAACAGAAACATCACCTCAAGTGTGCTGAGTGATTAGTTGATGCTCATTCTGGTGCTAGCTTGCCTCACAGAAAATTGGCAAAAAAACCCCACCTTGGTGGACAACACCTGCCCACAGGCCACACTTAGAGTAGCCATGGATAGGACCAGGGAACTCTGGCACGAGTACTGTTTCAACAGAGCAGGGGGTAGCAAACTCCCTGCCGTGTCTTAAGTTTTATTAGCACAGCCACATCTATCCTATAGATATTCTCTGGGGCTACTTTGGTGCTACAAAGGCCAACCTGAAGAGCTAGCACAGAGAGCACCTCTCTACTGAGCCGACAGCAGTCACAACTTGGCTCTTTTGAAGACAAAGTCTGCTAACCCCTGATCTAGATAGGAGTTGCTTGATCTCCACCTACCACCTAACAGCATGGAGCACAAAATGATAGACTGATCAAGTAGCAACATCCTTATAATTTACTCCCTTTAAATGAGTTACCTGAGCGTCTGGTACCTACATCATACTGTATTGGCTTCTTCAGGAGAGACAGAAAAAGACGGCCACCTTTGTCCTAACTGGGCATCCATAGATTGCATGACATTAGATGAGGTCCTAGAGGACCCACCACTTGCCTAGGGTCACAAAGCTAGTAAGAGGCAGAGTTAGGTTTAGAGCCTCGCTATGTCTGACGGCAAAGCCTGTGCTCCTGCCTCTGTTCCAACACCGATTGTAGGAACAGAGAAGACACCAGTTGTGGCTTTCAAAGTACGAGAGCTGCATCAGTGCAAAACTCAGCATGTATGGATACAAAGAGCTGTTAAAAACTGTACATTCTTAGTCATCATAAGAGGAACTGACTTTTGGGAAAAGACTGAGGTGATGATACAGCATTAGCCTTAGCCCAGTATTGTTTTCTTCTTTCCTTTCCCTGTCTCCCTCTCACTCGCTCATCTTTCTTCTTTTTCTCTCTAGTAAGTCTGTAGCTCAGGTGGTATCACACAAAGACCAACAACTGGTCAAAGTATTCGAAGACATGGAAATGTCTTCTGACTTTTGTCTCTGTGCCTGAAAGCAAGCTAACATCAGGAGTATTAGCCAACAGGTACAGCAAATCTCCATGCCCCCAGACATAAGCTAAGCCCAGAGTGACTTTGGGATGGCAGCCAGCCTGGGTCCTGTATTTGCTGCACATTAGGTGGCTCTGAATGCTGTCAGGTCTTACGATGATACAGAAGGCTGTCCCTCATCTTCCAACATACTGAGGGTTGGGAAGGCACAATGATGGTTTATTAGTTCCGAGACCTGCTGTGTTGTAAGGTGGGCCACAGGTTCTCCTGCCCCATCCCACTTCCTTTCACCAGTTCTTTACTGGCTGAGTGAGGAGGGCTGGTAAAAATTTCAAACTAAACTGTTGGGCAGTAAGATCACAGGGCAGAGATTCGGTCCGAGTCACACCCACCTTCATTTGGTGTGGCGCGTAGTGGAGAGCCTGGCGGAGACAGTCGATGGCCTTCTTTCCTTGGCCTTTCACTCTCCAGTAGAGGGCCGCCATGCTGGAGAGCACCCAGGAGGTCTGGTTCTGCAAAGGGAGAGTCAACCACGGCTGTGTGCGTATGACATACTAACTTGGAGACTGAGGACAGCCCTCCTTGCACTGTGGACTGCTGTGGACTGTGTGTTCACCCTCGAACCCCCAGAACCACTCAATGAGTTTAATGCCACTATTACAGCCCTTTCATAAGGTGAGAAAATGAGAGTTCAGTGAGGCCAAGGATCTTGCCCAAAGGCACTAAATGACAGAATTAACATTTGCCGTCCACATTCTTCTTAAACTGAAGTTAAAAGGAACTTTTTGATTGGATCACTCATTCCCACATATCAAAAATCAGACGTAGTGAAAGTTGCACATTCCTCTAGTCCCAATCCTTGTCTTCACTGTAAAAACACTATTTTTGGTTTCTTCCAGAATTCCTTTCTATTTTCTACAAGCAAACAGGAATAGACTGTTATGCCCTACCCCTTTTTATATGACATAACCCATTCTTTGTATGAGGCAACACTCATCTGCACTTGGCTGTTTTCACTAAACAATATACTTTGCAGCTCTTTATACATCAATGTATGCAAGGCTTCCTCATTCTTTTTGTTGCTGTTGTTGCATTGTATGAATGTACCATCATTTAACTAAGTTGTTATTGATGGCTATTTCTCCCCACCCCCATCAATTTTTACAGTAACAAACAAAGCTGCGAAAACCCCTTACATGTGTGTACCTGTGTGCATAGGTGTGTTTGTAGCACACATTACCAAGTGTGGACATGCTCTCTCAAGGGGATATGAACTTGTTATTTTGACAGACAGCAGTATTTTGCTTACCATAGGATAATAAACAAATGGTCTGTATGTTTATTAGCTGCCCTCATACTTGTAATAGTACACACATGATTCTATGGGGGACAAAAGGGTATTTGAGTGATAATACATCAATAGACACTTAATAAACCAGATTTTAATCTATCCGATTCACTTTAAAAATGTTGTTTTTTTTTAAATATCAGGGGAGATTAGTTATCTAATCTTTAGTATTTGAAGGAATGGAATTGTCGGTTTTGCTTAAAAAATATATTTATTGTGATTTTGGGGAAATTTACATTGCAAATTAGGTTTTTAATTGAATAAGCACTAGACCACAAGGTTGGTTTGAACCACAAGGTTTACAGTTCAAACTCACCAGCTGCTCCTTGGAAACCCTATATAGGATCGAACGGATCGGAACCTACTCGATGGCACTTAATGTTAAATCACCGCCACCAACATAGCTCTTATTAGGAATTCTGCTGTGCGCTGTGGGCTAAAGCACTAGACCACAAGGTTGGTATGAACCACAGGTTCAGCGGCTCAAACTCACCAGCCGCTCATTGGAAACCTTATACAGGGTCACTATGAGTCAGAACCAACTCAATGGCACTTAACAACGACATACTTACTATTCTTGAGTCCTACTTTGGTGCTGTAAGATAAGCACTGGATTGCTAACCTAACAAAGTTGGTGGTTCAAACCCCCCAGCTGCTCCTTAGAAACCACCCTATACAGGCTTGCTGTGAGTTGGAACTAACCTGATAGCATTTAATGATGATGCCTGTTACTCAGTGGCATTGATTATACTTTTCATAGTCTCATTATTTCCATTCTGGTGGTTCTGTTTCCATTAATCTAGCTTCCTTGTGCCCTTTTACTTTCTCCTTTTTGGTCCTGGGCAAATGTTGACCATTATGTCTCCTTTAGAGTCCTGGTGTGGTGCTGCAGGATAATGCAATGGATTGCAAGGTGGTTTGAACCACAGAGTTGGTGGCTGACACTCACCAGCCGCTCCTCGGAAAAAACTATGCAGTGCGGCTATGGGTCTGAAGTGACTCGATGTCACTTAACAACAGGTTTCATTTAGATGATTGTTCAGACAAGCACAGTACTCATGAGTGATGTTATTTATTAATGAGCAACTGTCTTGGCTGGTAGGTGAGTGACCACCAGGAATGGTTTGAGTTCCAGATTTAAAGCGTAGCTCAGGGTGACAGTTTCAGGGTTTCTCAGTCTCTATGGATCCAATAAATCTGACCTTTTAAAGGAATTGAGTTTTATTCTGTATCTCCCTACCCCTCATTTTCTCTGTGAGTATCTGTTGCGTCTCTGGTTGGGTTAGTTGTGGTAGCTGGGCACCATCTAGTTCTGGTCTCGAAGTGGGTGAGACTGGTTTGAGTAAACAGCTAGTCCTGTAAACTAGTTAGTTCTCTGAGTCTTTGGTTTCCTTCTTTCTCTTTTCCTCCAGATCCCAGCCTCTACTCACCAAACCATCATGACTTATGCTCTGCCAACTGACTGAGTTGCCCCGGAGATGCCTATCATAGGATTTTAATAATTTAATCTTCTCCAGAAACATACGAGAGTCCCTGTTTCCTCCTTATAGCTGCACCAGTGTTATTAAAGATCCAGACGGAACTTTGTCAATGTGAGACTAAGTGGTTTTAACTGGAATTTTCCCTTATAATTCTTGTTGCTATGTTTTTAAATGCTGTTAAGTCAGTTTCAACTCATAGCATCCCTGGATAGGGTTTCCAAGGCTTTACATTTCTGCACGAGCAGAAATCGTCATCTCTCTCTTGCAGTGTGGCTGGTGGGCTCAAACTTCTGACCTTGTGGTTCGTAGTCCAGTGCTTAGCCTATGGAGTCACCACACTCCCTCCATTACTTCTTTTCTGTGAAGTACAGATACTTCCATTTTGTTCATTTTCCTATTAGGCCTTTATCCTAACTATTTGAAAAAGGTGCCATCAAGTCAGCACCAACTCATAGTGACCCTATGTACAGCAGAACAAAACACCGGCTGAGCCTGGGCCAACCTCACAATCATTGCTATGCTTGAGCCCATTGATGCTGCCACTTGGCCAATCCATGTCGCTGGGGATCTTCCTCTTTTTCTCTGATCCTCCACTTAACCAAACATGGTATCATTCTCCAGCAACTGGTCCCTCCTGACAATATGTCCAAAGTATGACAGATGAAGTCTAGCTGCCCTGGCTTCCAAGGAGCACTCTGGCTGTGCATCATCCAACAGATCTATTTGGCAGCCCACGGTACTTTCAATATTCTCCTCCAATACTACAACTCAAATGCATCAATTCTTTTGAAAAAAATAGTTAAGAGTATATTAGGAGGGGTGGGGGAACTGGTCCCTAGTCTATGATATAGATTATAGATCTTCTCTCCAGTTTGATTGTTGTTTAAAGATGAGGCATTCTGCTCCCGTAAAGATTTACAGCCTCGGAAACCCTGTGCAGGGTCGCTGTGTGTCGGAACCGACTCCACGGCACTTAACAACAACAACAACAACTCCAGCTTGAAGTTGGCCTTTGTTTGAACCTATGGTGTTTTGTGATGCAAAAGGTTTTGATTTCTAGTCAGTCCAGTTTGTTAATTTATGTCCTATACTTTCTGGAGTTTCTGTCATGGTAAGAAAGGTCTGTTTAACTCCAACATTATCAAGGAATGTTATCATGTCCTTTTTGACACTGTTCACCTTAAAATCTTTGCTCCATCTGAAAGTTTAACCCCGTGTAAAGTAAAAGTCACGAATCCAACTTAATTTTGTTTCCAGATGGCTAATCTTGTTTCAGTAATATTTAATGAATGATTCATCCTTCGCCCACTGAGATACTTTATCATACATAAAATGTTGGTACTTAAGTCTAATTGTGGACTTTCATATTTATTTCTTTTGTCACTTGATTGATGGTCTCTGACTTGCAGTCATTACAGATAGGCAATCTGCTTCCCATGATTCTTTCTTTCTTCCAATACAAATTCTGGCTAATTTGATCAATTCTACAGCATTAGGCATACTGGGTTTGTATTCTGCTCGGTCACCCGTTTTTTTCCAGCCTGCTTTATCATTAGTTCTACTGTTGACAATACTTAGGGACCACCGCCATTACTTTTGTACGGTTTCTCCAAACATCTTGTGATTGGCTGCAGTTCATCTTTTAGCAGTTTCCTCAAGCAGGGCTCCTGGGAACAGTGCTCTTTTAGACAGTTGTTGTTGTTAAGTGCCGTTGAGTTGGTTCTGACCCATAGCGACTCTGTATAGGGTTTCCGAGGAGCCACTGCTGAGCTTGAACCACCAACCTTGTGGTTCAAACGGCTTTGCAGTCTGGTGCATTAACCCACAGCACCACACCAGGACTCCTCTTTTGGATTATGTATGTGCAAAACACTGTCTGCTGACTTCATACCTGAAGGGCAGCTTGGATGGATACGAAACTTAGGATCATTCTTTTATTTCTTGAATTGTCACGATTGCTCCACTGCCTCTTGGTGTAGAAGGCTGTGGCAGAGAAATCTGAAGCTAGCTGGTTGGCTCCTCCTTAGAGACCTGCTCCCTTTGACTGGCTTCCCCAAAAGAATTCTTTCCTTTGGTTTTAATAAAATTATCTTCTCTAAGGAGCCCTGCTGGTACAAATGGTCAAACACTTGGTTGCTAACTGAAAGGTTTGAACTCATCCAGTGGCTCCGTGGGAGAAAGTCTGCTACTTGCCCCTGTAAAGACTGTTCGGACTCATGGAACCCTGTATAGGTTCCCAGGGGTGCTGAATGGGTTTGAACCGCCGATAACCGCCAAGGAAATCCTAGGGGATAATTTGACTCTGAGACATGGGGTCACTATGAGTTACAATCCACTTGATGGTGCCTAACAAGAAGTGTAAGTTTAGAAATGGTGTCTCAGCCTGGGACATGGAACCTTTTGTCAGTCTGTACTTGTCCTAATGTTTCTCTGCTATTCATAGAGTTTTCAGTGACTAGCGATTCGGAAATAGTTTGTCACTCTTTCTTCCTAGTCTGTCTTTGTTTTGTAGCTCATCTGAAACCTGTCCATCATAGATGACCCTGCTGGTTATTTAAAACACCGGTGGCGTAGCCCTCGGAATCACAGCAACTCAAACCACCACAGCACGACAGACAGACGAGTGGTGGCCGTTTGGTTTTAATTGGACAGTGAATAAGGAAGATTGTAGAAGAATTGATGC